CAATACGTACACACAAATATATACGCATCCATGTATATAACATATACAAATACAGATACATATATGTATATGTAGAGAACAAGTATAGAATGTTTCTCTGCTGCTGCAGCCACCGAAAGAGAAAAAAAAGGAGACATATAACCACAGAGGAGCTCCGTAGAGCGTAGAGGGGTTTATGTTTCCTTGTGAGGGTTTGTGTTGCTGTATAAGGGTTTGCGTTGCTGTATAAGGGTTTGTGTTTCTAGGGTTTAGTTGAGGTGGCTGCTGCTGCGCTGCAGCAACACAGCAGCAGTTAGGTGTATAGACACCTGAAAGGAGCCTTTTATAACAAAATAAATAAAACAAACCCCAGCAAGAAAAGCTCGGGGTTTAGGGTTTAGGGTTTAGGGTTTATAATGCTGGGTGGCATCAGCATACAGCCCAGTTGCTGCAGCAACCACACCACACGCAGCAGCAGTTGCTGCAGTTGCTGCTGCTGCTGCTGCTGCTGCTGCTGCTGCAGCAGCGCAGCAACACCCCTCAACCTGCTACAGGTGGCAGCTGCTGCTCACTACCAGTCATCTAGTTTTCTTCTTTTGGGTTTTCTTTTTTTTTCCTGTCTTGTCTCCGATACAGTACTCCACGGGTGCTGCTGCTGCTGCATGTACTGCTGCGGTTGCTGCTGCTGCTGCTGCATGTACTGCTGCTGTGGATGCATGTACTGCTGCTGCGGCTGGCTGTACTGCTGCTGCAGCTGCGGCTGCTGCTGCATGTACGTAGGTTGCTGCTGATGCTGTAGGTAGTGCTTCTGCTGCTGCAGCCGCTGCGAGCTGCTGCTAACGAAGCTTTCTGCTCTGCCTTTTCTGCTAGAGACTGAGGATGCTGCTCCGATGGCGCTGCTGCTGCTGCTGTGTTGCTGCTGCAGCTGCTGCTGCCGGAGGCTCTGAGCAGAGAAAGACCGCAGCAAACTGCTGCTCATCGTTGCTGCTTGCTGCTCGGGGCGCTGCTGCTGCTGCTGCTGATGCTGCATGGGCACCTTACGAAATGCATGCTCCCCCAAGGCTGCAGCAGGAGCAGCAGAGAGTAGAAATGCAGCAACAGTTGCTGCTGCAGTCTTCGCGCTCTTGTCTGCGCTACTGCTGCTGCTGCTGCTGCTGCTGCTGGTGGTGGTGGTTGTGGCGCCGGCTGGTTGTGCTGCTAGAGAAGAAAAGAATGAAACATCTTCATTTGTTGTTTCGTGTTTATTTTCTGCGGGTTCGTGTTCAAGCAAATCCACTAAAGTAAATTTGTGGTATCTATGGGCCTCGGGTATAGGTAAAGGAGGAAGAGGCTGATGAAGACAAAAGAATTTCGTCTGGTGAGGTAAAGTGTTCGACAACAAACCCGGGCCGTATACACCCCGCGGCCGCAGCGCAGCCAATCGAAGCCGCGACGCAAAGTGCTGCTCCTGCTGCGAGACAAACGCCACTCTGAAAAAAAAAACAAACCACACACACCACAGAATATATATATATATATATATATATATATATATATATGTATATATATATATATATATATATATATATATATACGCACACACACATACACATACATACAGAAAGAGAGAGAAAGCACTAAACCTTCGCTTACCGTTCGGGGTGCAGCCCTATAAGGTCATCGTAAGCATTAGGTGGCCGCCAAGGATCAGGCATAGGAGGCGCTGATTTGCAGAAGTATACGCTCGATGCATCTGCTGCATCTTCTGAAGCAGGTGTAGATGCTGAAACTTGGGGGGTTACCGCTGCTGCACAACCCCTTTCGCCTGCCGGGGGGGCCCCCGAAGGGGGCCCCTCCATCTCCACCAAGAGGAGGAATCAGCAGCACTAGCACACCATGAAGCGCTGGTACAAGGCAGCGTGAGCGTGGCGCTGTCAGATGCTCATTTGTTCTGTTGAGTTTCTGTTCAACTGAAGAAACACGCAACGGCGTCGTTCAGGATCTGCGCATACACCCGAGACGAGGTACGGTGTACAGCCTGGTTTCTTGCGTATTTTAATTTGTTTTTAAAGTTTATTCATGAAAATTGAGCAGAAAAGAGAAACTTTAGCCCGGGAATTGGCGGAAACGTGGGGCTCTATGCAACGCGCCCGCAGTGCTGCAGCCGCCACCACTACTCCCATGCATGCATTTCGAATTAGAATTCGTAAAAGAACGCAAAAGTGAACAATAAAACTAACCCTTTTCACCTGTAGGATGTAATCTGAACTTTCGGCTAACAAGGCGCAGCTGGCAGTCTTGGGGCTGAGTGAAACTTCGTTCTAGAACGGAAGGTTTTTGTCGCTCTGTTTTAGGTGTATTTGCTCATGTGCATGTTTAGTTGGTTTCTTGTATTTATATTTAGATATAGTGGTTTTTGATTACCGCTGGAAAAAGCTAGGAATTATGGTAACCGAGTTGGGTCGTTCATGTTCCCGCTGCACGATCTTGATTTCTGTCGTAGTCCGCTGCATATAGTCATGCAAGAAAAGTCTTCAAATATATGAACTGTTTACTAGCTTCTTTCGAAAAAGTTTGGTATCTTCTCCTGTTGCCAGTGAGCAAACGAAGGATAAGCTCTGTCTCTATGCAGCGATCCATGCATACGATTGTTGTGAGCTACAACTGGAGCATCTTCTCTCCCCTGCAGATGCAAATATTTCTAGTTCCATGCAAGCAGCGCACTAGTTGCCGTGTTATCTTTTAGCAGCTTTCTACAGTCTTAGTGGCTGCATCAGAAAGGGGCTTGAGCACCCTGGTGTGCGGCGTTGCTTACCAGCAGGCGTTGCAGCGAAGTATTCTGCAACACCTGCGAGGTCACCTCCTCTGCTAAACGGCCTAGGGCATTCAGCACTGTCCCGAATAGGGTGAAGAGTAGAGGGAGAACTCTTGCCTTTTTTTGAAATCTCACCTGAAGTAGTTTGGCTCTACGGCGGACCCAAACCTTCCACAAGAACCCCTGATACCGAACAGCCTCAAGCCTCTAGGAAAGCCCATACAATATTTCACTCTTTAACAAATGCAGACCCGCAGCGACTGCGTAGCACTGCAAAGAGTTTGTTTATACATTCCTTGGCATGAAGCCTCATTTGCGCGGAATGGTGTATAGGCTTTTAAAACACGTTCATCTATACCACGGATATCCTGGACGGGTTCTGTAAAACTTAGTGCCTCTTGCTGAGAACATAGTACCATTGAACTCAGGCTAAAGCTCTAATTTACAGTGGTTATCGTTGTGCAAATCGATTCATATTGAATTACATCTGCTCTGCTAGCAACCGCTGGTCTTTCAGGTCCGTGTGTGGTGCGCACGAGGCGAAGCGGCTCACAAAAAAAAAGCTCATGAGGTGTAATAAAACATTTTCTTTTTTTTTAACGCATCGTGGGTTAGTTGCACGTGAAACATTCAACGCACGGCAACTGCAGGAAACACGCAAACGGGTTTCCTGGCTCATGAACATGTGGCTAGTATGAGCCACCACCATCATCTGCTTTTATGCGTTGTAGAGAATCCTTGCAATGAATGGGGAAAATCCCCTGACGTTTCATCATAAGCCAAAGTGCGGGGAAAATGTGTTTAATGTGAAAACAATTCATGATGAATACTCGCGCTTGTATGAACCCTCCAACTATGCTGAGCACTCACCCCTTCAGAATGCGCCTGATAAGTTACATTTGCTATTGGCGTCTTCTTTGCTAGAACAAGAGGCACAGCAATGGCAGCCACATCATAGTAAGGGTAACACTATTCTGGACTATACATATATGCACTGAAGAAGTTTTCAGTTGCGTTGCGAAGTAGATAGCAGAACGGAGTATGGAAATATCAAGAATTTCTAAGCAGAGAAAGCTGTTGGCAGAACTGCATCGAGAAGAATATTTGTGGACAGAGATCATACGTTGAACGCAGAGCTCCTATATCAATGACTCATGCGAAACTAGCAAGTCCTGCAGCAACTCAAGACACCCCTGCTTCCTATCCGCCCTACCTCTAAAATCCCACTGACACCGTACTGCTGTGCCCCCGGTGTTTGGTGCTCGAAGGTGTTGAAAGCTGCTTTGGGGAGCGTTTCTTCCGAGCGCTTTGATACCTTTGTTATGCCCCAGCGCTCAAGGCTGCCTATGGCTGGCTGCAACTCTGGGATTTGTTAGAATACCCATGCAGATGAATGTACAGCTCGTAAATGAAAACATCTAGAAAGAGTGCAAGAATGCGCGGCACAGCATCTATCAAGTAAATTCGTATCTCAACGGAAGAAAATGAGTTCCAGTATCTTCTGCTGTCCGTTACACTCCACGAGCTTTTGTTTCCCACTGACCGTTTCCACGTCTATAAGGGATATTGTCTTCATGGTTGTGATAGTCAATGGGGGCTTTTCGTATAGAGGAGAGCAAACTAAAGTATTTCAATGTGCAGGCGAAAGAGTACTATATTTGTAGATAGAGCCGAGGGCTAGAAACGCCCTTGAGAAGAGGCTCTAGACCCAAAAGGAGAACATGAAAGGTATTTGGTATCTTCTTTAGTTGGAAAACTTAGCGGCGCTATTTATTATTTCACAAAGGCGTCACTTCAGTGCAGACGAAGTCGTCGGACCGGCGAACTCAACTCACTAAGCTAAGCGGGGGACGGGAACTTCATTGAAAACTCGAGTTAACATGGCTGTAATCATGTTTTACTTTACGAAATCAATAATATAACACTTATGGAAGAGGCTATTTACGATTACGCCCGGACAATAAGCGCTCAAGAGCAGCGTCCGTCCTGCCGATGCTATGTCGGCTGCTCCCTCTTATGTATGTGTAGCAGAAGTGAATAGGGGGAAAGAGAGGGGCCTTACCAGTTATCCTGTACCTTGCTCTTTCAAAAAAAAAGGTGACTTTCAGTGACCGCAACAAATTGACTGCCCAGGTTAGCCGGTAACGAAAACATTAAAACAAACGCAGGTTTCCTTTCCCTCGTACGGCTCGCCTCTCCCCTGTTGGCGGTGGTCGTGCGGTGGACTTGGTGGGGCACTCAAAGGCACTGTTAATGGTTACTAGCTGTTTTTTAGTCAAATATCTGCCTCATTCAGAAACCCAGGTCCTCTCGAAGGTTCGGCAGATCTTCATGTTCACCAGGAAGTCAGGGCCGAGCGCGAGAAGGGCGTTGTGAGGGAGCAAGGTATGTGGGGTCCACACTGCTACACAGTTGAGTTTTCGTGGGCCGTATTACTCCAGGTACAAGTTCCTTTCTCTAACAGGTGCCTATAGAAGATCGGCATTCCGCAGCTGGCGGGGAAGCCTTGGCATGATCACTTTTTGTTGTCATCAACCCAGTACGCTCACACCGACGAGCTGAACAGGTAGAAATGGCGAAAGAAAAACTGGCGGATCAGCAGGAATCCTCGCCTCGTCTAGAAGGCGCAGAGTCAGATGCATTCCACCTGGATCTCCCGGTTGACGGTGGCCGTACACTGTCGTGCACAGTTCGGCGTCTGCCTGAAAAGACCAGTTCTGACGGGCAGAATGTGCAGGTGCTTTTGTCTTTCAAAGAACCCTTTTTCGGAGAAAGCGGGGCAAACAAGGAACTACTATTGCACTGGTGAGCCGGGAGAGGCTCGATATGTGGTCCAGTCAGTCATCTGTGCATCTCCCACTGCATTGCTCCGGTGTATACTTCCACATCATCCTATCGGCTACAAACGCAAATGTGTCGACTTCTGCGCCTCAGGGGTGTCGCTAAGAACCCAGGGGAGTGGCTGCCTCCCAGCAGCGAATTAATGGAGCAGCTGCGCTGTAAAGGTCAGCCCGTGAAGTTCAAGGACGGGGCATCAGATATTCCCTTTCCGTCCTCACACTCCTCCTCCTCCCCCCCAGTGCTCGAGTTGACGTTCCCCGCAGATGTGGCCCCAGAATACATGGTGTTCGTGTTGCACTCTCCCCCGAACGAATGGTTCAAGCAGGCTACCCCAGGACGACCTTCTACGAATTTCATGGTTCCTCTCAAGCAGGCGATAAAATTGATGCTGTCACGAAGTGCTCTCCTGAAAGCTATAGCTGCCTACAAACAGACACAGCCTCTGCAACAAATCAAGCCCTCCAGCACACGGTGCGTGAACCTTCAGCACGTTTCCATTGGTTTCTGTTTGCCGTCCACTCTCCCGGCGTTTCTGCCCGACATCTAACCAACCGAAACCCTGAGAAAGATAAGAAATATTGCAGATGCGTTGCTTCATTCTCTTTATATGCATGCAACAGCAGAGAAATGCATCCACAACGAAAAACTTTTGCTGCTCGAAGGCGCAATGTAGCATGCATTCTTTCATCCGAATTGACACAGGTGTCATCAAGCGGAACCTGTGGATTTACCCAACTCATTTCGGCATCGATTTTTTCTTTTTCTATATCCACTTGGGAAGCTAGCTTTGCAATTGAATGCAATTGTGTAACCACCGCTGACAAACGTATTCGTGCCAGTGGATGTATGTGTGCACGCATTTGTACCTCCGCACGATACAACTGTACAGGCCCTAACACATGCTTCAAAGAATATGAGTGAATTTTCGTTGCTGCAACCCCATTGGAAGTGTGTGAGATGAACTGCGCAGCTACTGGAGAACTGTGGTGAACGACGGCGACATGCAGCTATTGGCATTGACATTCGTGGACAAAGGATGCTGCGGGTTCGAACTCTTCTGCGATTGGCCAGCCGCTCTTCTGCTTCACTGGGGAACAGTAGAAAGCGAAAACAGTACCTGGAAACGCATGGAACTCAACAAAATGTTGGTAGACGTTGGCAGCGACGCGCAACAGATGCAGCAGTCGGACCGACAAGAGCACCGAGGGACACATAAAAAGGAGGATTCTGAAAGGAACATCGACGGGCAGAAGAAAGGCAAGGCTAATGATGAACCAAAGTCTGAGGACGTGTCAGGGGATGGGTGCCACCTCGAGAAGCTTTACGGGACCTTCGCTCACTACCCTATCGACAACAAGGCAGCGCAAACCTTATTTGAGGTACAAACTTCATCTAGATTCCCATAGTGCATGCATTTCAATGCTGTTAAACATCTCGTTCATCCATATTCTGCCTTCGCGCGCATGGCCGCATGTCTTTGTGTGTGCCTGAAAGTAAGTCCTATCGACGTTAGCTTATCCGCACACATACGGCTGCGTGTATCTGTGAGCATAACAACAGTAAGTACACAGTTAAGCATGCAGGCACAAGTCCATGACCACACATTCACTCTGCACGTTCAAATGCTCTGATTCCGCGCATTGTGCATATCATTTGGACACGGACGCATACCCATGTACGTATCCAGATATAGTTAAACAGCGTTACGGGAAAAAGCTAGTACCACCAATAACAAGCCTGCATCAAATGCTATCGTATTGTCGTTTTTAACTTTTGCGACAGTGTCACGGTGTTAGGCGACCGTTACGGCATCCCTTGAGTTGTGTTTCGTGTGAATTTGTTCCTCGCTTGTGCTGCTTGCGTTTAGTTCTGCGAGACGTCGCGCAGCGTGGGCTTTCAACGCGTGGCCCTCTGCTTCAGGGGAGACGCTGTGCCGTACGGGATTTCGTTTGTGTTAAAAGAAGTAAAGGCAGATCGTTGGTTCGCGGACCAAGCGGGGGACTTCTTCGTAAAACTTCCTACGCATCCTTATTGGGAAACGCTGCGCGAAAAGTACAGGAAGCTTGAAGAGATCCGAGCTGCTGAAGAGGCTAGGGAGAGAGAAGAACGAAAGAAAAAGTGGAACGAAGCTAAGCAAGCATTCAACAAATTTGCTCAGGAGCAGTGAGACGCAAAGGATCAGCAACACACATGTTCATGCACCAGAAACTCCCCAACGGTGTACACGCCAGTCTTACTTTGTCCATTATGCACAGCACTGGTGTTTTCTCTGTGAGGGAAGGAACTGGCTCTAATAATAGCTCAAGGACACTGCAAAACAACCGTACTGTAAAAGTGTAGAGAGAAATAACATATGCTACTCTTTGACATCGGCATAATGATATGTTCTAATTGCTGTTATGCATGCTGTCAACGCTGCAGAGATCCCGAAAGTGCTCTAACATTGCGTCGGGTGCCTCTTTCCGATGGAATAGGAGAACTTCTGGTGAAAACTGAGGCGGATGCTTCCAAGCACAGCATCCTCATCTCGCTCACAGCTTGTCTCCAAACTCCGTGTGTCTTGAGGTGGGGCATGGTTGACATCATGGGAAGGAGGCAAACGGAGCTGCAAAAGGAGGCTGAAGCTAAGGGAGCCCCCCCCATTGAAACAGGAAAAGGAGGGAGGTATCAGTGGATTTGCCCCCCTCCAGAAGTTAGGCCGCCCCATACAGTAGTGGCGGATCCACACCGGTGAGCCCAAAGCAGCAGAAATCAGCGGCTAATTGCACTATATAGCAACTGCTATAGAGCGGGTTGCAAATTCTAGTGGCCATCGGCTCCCCTGCAGTACGGGCGCGTCGAGCTGAGAGAAACACGAATGTGTGGTCTGTCTTGGGGCGCAGGGCTTGTGAGACACCTTTTGAAAACTCTCCTGATGGTCTTCTGCAACGCCTAGAGATTCATGTTCCAGCACTCAAGACCACTCCGCACTTCGAAGGGGATCCTGGCATTGAGCCACTCTTCGACGGCTTTGCCTGCTGCCTCAGAGAGAGGGATGCTGACAGGTGGTACAAGGCTATTGACAACCGTGACATCCAAGTAGGAACCCTCATAAAAGCGCAATCGCTCAAACATTTGTTAAAGTTCTTCAAAGCCTACTAACGAGAACAAGCCGTCAGACAAGATTCTGCTGAACCCCAATGTATAGCAGGTCCTACGATCCCTCCCAACTTTTACCAGACCGCTCAGGCGTCTCGTATGGTTTTCATATCTGGTGTTGCAGGTCCGCTTGCTGGATGTGGAAAATGTGCCTTGTAAGGGTGAGAACCGTGACTACCTGGAGAAGATCGTGGAGGCCGAGGTGGAGTGGCAACACATGACGCTGATGCATCGGTACAACTTAATGCGTGATTTCTATGAATCCTTTGCGCGGCGTTCTGAGGCCAGACTCTCCTCATCTCCTGAGTACAGTACGCGGTCAAAGAGAGTGGCAGAGCTGGCGAGGAGATGGTCGCACAGGCAGTGGGAGGGGGATGAGGCGCCGTTGCCAGAGGGGTTCGGGGCCTGCATGAAGAAAGCTCTGGCTGCTCACGACCTCCTCGCGTGTGGTGAGCTGGCTGCCACTGAGGCGGCAGAGGAGAAGGAGTTCTGGGAGCTCATGTTTACTTGGGCTCGGTTTGCGTTTCTGGGTTTGCTGGACTGGCAAAGAAATTACAACACAAAGCCTCGAGAGTTGGCCCATGCATGCGAATCCCTGACTTTCTATACCGCCAGACTCTGGTGCAACTTTCCTTCCCACCGTCCGCTGATTCGTTGCTGCCTCAGCACTATGGGTAGAGGCGGTTCTCAGGGTCAGGCGATCAGAGACAGAATCCTAGAAATCATGCACAAACATCACATACCTGAACATGGATCTTTCTATGAACAGTGGCACCAAAAGCTCCACAACAACACCACCCCAGATGACATCGGCATCTGCAGAGTAAGGTCCAGTTCCTCCAAGAGGCCTTCGTGAATTAGCCAAATGTGTTATGTCCTAGATCGCGTTCACGCAATGCTGGATCTGCTACGGTTGTGCAGAGCACGGATGTGATATCCTGATGTGGTTTTCTATTTTTGTTCAACTTCCTTCTGTTGCCTTCTGCGTTACCAGGCAGTAATTGCATTCCTCGAGAGTCGCGGAGACCTCTCCGCATACTGGCGAGTGCTGGGTGACCACGGAATCAGCCGGGAACGGCTTGCCAGCTACGAGAGGAAGATTACCATGGAACCTCATATGCTGCACACGGACATAAATGAACTTATAAATGACTTCAGAGCCTACCTCAGCGTGATTCAGGATGTGCACGATGCAAGGGATGCTCGAGTAAGCCACTGCTTGTGGTAGTTCTCTGGACGCCACTGCAGCCTAGACACTACACATTGCACCGCACAGCGCAATACATCAAGAGAGCGGCACGAAAGCATCCCCAAGGCACCTTTCAGTGCACCAAGTTGTGTGGTTCTGGCTGATCTTGTATGGATGCCTTCAGAAAGCACTTGACTACGCCCGCGGGTACCTCGCTGGAGATACCGTCCAAGCGGTAGAGAGAGTTGTGTGGGAGATGGGACAGAGGACAGACGGCATGGGGGCGGGGGAACTGCACCACCGCTTTGCACGTTTGTCAGAGGCGCGCCGGCGCATTTGTTTCCAGCTAAACGAAAATGGTTGTCTTGACAACTGTGATAACTCAAAGATAGCCGCAACGAGAGAGCTTTTGATGCTGGACTTTGTCTTGGAACAACAGCAAGGCCTGCTGCTCCAAGCCACCGCGTCGTTTGATGTACAACAACTCGCAATGCATCTCAGAGAGCTTCTTCTTTGCCTTTCTGCTCACGACCCGTTTAATGTCGAGCTCACGTGAGTAATCCCAAATTTTTGTGTTCAGCTGCTAAGCTGCTGCAGGAGCTCCTGCTGTTTATAGAAAGGCATACGAGCTCCCCTTCTACCACCTGCGTATCTTCTTCCCAAAGCATCTCCCTCACTTTCCTCACGCTCCTAAAAGGGCACTGATGTTCGCTGGTTATTATTTTGTGCATATTTTGCGCGCATCCAACAGCCCTGGAATGCGCTGGTTGAAGCACTTGATCCAAACAGTACACTTTGTCGAATGCTATTCTTGATTTCTTTTCGCGGTGTCACAGGAACCTATGTGCCGACTGGCAGCACTTGTCTGGAAATCTGGCGGCCAGCTGTGCATCTGGGGATAGCTCGAACGACGAATGCAGGGAAGGAGCTCTTCTTTTGAAGGCCTTGTTAGATCGATTGTCTCGTTTTGTAGGCAAGCAAGTGGACTCAGTGCAGGAAGGTCTCGGGCCCAAAGCACAGTACCTGGGGGCGCAAGTGGGAACCGACAAGAAGGTACTCGACTTCTTTGTAGACGAGGTTCTACGAGGGTCCTCTCTACTGAGCATTTCGTTTTCGATCAAGCGCCTCGAACCGCTGCTGAGGAAGGCAGCAAAGCTGCCTGCCTGGCAACTCATTTCCGTTGTAGAGAAGGTCAGGGGTGAATTTGTCACCATTAATGAACTCTCGGGCATCCAGGTGAATACGGGTTAAAATTCCTGGTCCCTCTTTAGTTTCCCCGCCCAGTGTGGTAAACGTTTTTCCTAGAACATGCGCTGCCTCGTAGTGAATTTTAGCGGAAGCTTAGTCGAGATGGGCTTGCATGCAACGGGCGTGAGAACCCTTCTTCTGATTACGATGTTAAGGTGCTCCCTATGTTCTGCTGTTTCACTTTCCACATGACAATTCAGGACAAGGTATTTGAATCGCCAACAATCCTGCTCTGCAATGCTGTGAGCGGTGAAGAGGAAATTCCCGAAGGCGTTCAGGCCGTCCTGGTCCGTTCTGCGGCTGTCTCACCCGACATTCTCAGTCATGTCTCTGTCCGAGCGCGAAACGCCAACGTGCTTTTGGCTGTGTGCTTTGACGAGGCGGAAAGCGGGAAACTGGTAAGACTGGCAGTATGGATATGCTCTTTCGGTTGATAGGTCATAGTATTGAACTGAATTATAAATGCGCTGACCTCTAGGAGACCGATTCTACCCCCTCCTGGTTCAGCAATGGCCTCCCTGTTGCGTGCGTCAATGTAGGAGGAGCTCGCTGGGCAGTGGGTGGAAGTCAAATGCACCCGCGATGGCAGCAGTCTAAGTGTGGCGGCGGCGCGCAAATGGAAGCCAGACTCGGCAGTTCAGAGGACCTGTTCCAGCCTGTTTGATCGTAAGGCCTCCCAGCGGGTCCTGGAAACTCGTGAAGAAGAAGAACTCCGCAAAGCTGTTAAACAAGCCGACAAAAATGTGGCAATTCTCGATGCATCCAGGGATGCTCCATGGGCCATCACTTCAGACAAGTTCACCTCGTAAGCCAGAGCCTTTCCGTTTGTGTACCCTTCTGTCGACGAATAACATGATCATTTGGTGTATGTGGTTTGGATATTTCGACACCTTCACTGGGACGAGAGTATATCCTAATCTTGCAACTAGTGCAAAAGGATGGGATTATTTCTGTTCCATGTTACTAGTTGCAATGTTACGGCCAAGAGCTGAAGCCAGAATTGGCTGGTTCTGTACTTGCGAATCACTGCATCATCAACGTCCAGACAACAATGCGAGCGCGCCGAAATCTCGTTTGTCCGCGAAGTTTTCCCGTTCTTTGCGCGTCTTCGTTAGGTCCTTGGTTGGGTCAAAGTCCCTAAATATCGCTAAATTGAAGTCCACGCTTCCCAAAGATGTACTGACTCCTTACTCGATCGCACTGCCTTTCGGAAGCCTGCAGCGTACACTGCATGCGCCCGAGAATGCGGAGACGTTGAAGCGTCTCAGTGAGGCCTTACGGCAGCTGACAACACGTCTCAAGAACTCAGAAGCAGAGGCCATATTTCAGGTCTGCCAGAAGGCTATAGCAAATGTCTTGATCCCCGGGGAGCTTCGCCAGGCTTTGGAAAAAGCTCTTCAAAGCAGCGATGCCCAGGGGAGTCCCGGCAACGGATCCAGCGCCAACTTAGGCAATCGGCCGCACCTCATGGATCTTTGGAAGGAGACCGGTGATGCTAAGTGCACGCAAGCCCTGGTCGAAGTATGGGCTTCTCTCTTTGGATTGCGCCCATGGATTTCACTTACTAAAGCATCTAGAGACTACTGCGAACTTAACATGGCAGTTTTAGTTCAGGTAGGCGCTTGGCACCCAAACGTCGCTTCCGTTTTGGCTATGGGCTCCAGAATGTGTGGATGATGCAAGCTGTTCTTCTAGTGGCGTATGAAGCAGTGGACCCTGGAATGTGCTGTTTCTAGTCGTGGACACCCTTGTTGTGTACAGCAACAGTTTTTATGTACAAATGAGTCGTGGATCACACGCTCCTTTGTTATGCAGGAACTTCTTCCGGTTCGTTATTCATTCGTCTTGCACACTAAGAACCCCTTCTCACAGGACAAGAATGAACTATACGGAGAAATTGCGGCAGGTGAGATGTTGCGTCTACTGGCACAGAGGAGTTTGTAAGCTGTCACCGCGGCGGTGCCTAGCTTGTATAAGGCCTGCGGTGGAAGTGAATCCACCCCTATTTTACGTTGTATTTGTACTGCACGGCCTCCCTTCCAGTGAATATAACCTTCCGCAACATTCATATTGAGGGGAAAACTCAGTAACCACCAGTTTGCTGTTGAATGACTTTATGCGCTGCAGGACTTGGAGAAGTCATTGTGGGCAATTACGCAGGGCGTGCCATGGGTTGGACACAAACCCGCAATGGAGAGCCTAGAGTTATTGCCTTCCCAAGCAAAAGCGTCGCCCTCACATGCAAACAGTGTTTAATTTTCCGGTGAGTGCTTCTGGAGTAGCAATGGTTGACATTATGTTGGTGAGACTTTCCTAAGCTTTTTCCTTTATGTGCCTTATTCGGCTTTTCGTGCTGTTGCAGGTCCGACTCAAACGGAGAGGACCTCGAAGGGTTTGCAGGAGCCGGGCTCTTTGAGTCCATTCCTGCTGAAAGAGCCTTTTGGCTGCCTCTCTGTTACTGGAGACAACGCCTCGTTAGCGACAAAGCGTACAGAAATGCGCTATTGTCCAAGATAAGCAAAGTGAGCGGGCGCCATTAGACGTCTAAGCGAAAGCTACACACCTTTCATGCTAAGCTCATTCTCCCATGTAAAACGTACCCCGTTGCTTGCTGCTGAGTTGCACTTAATTTTGGAGTGAGTAGTGCCCTGTTTATCTCTAACACACTGCAGTCGCTTGAAAGCGTTTTTGCTTTGTCCTACATGCAGATTGGAATGCTTGTAGAAGAAGTCTACGGCGCCCCCCAAGATATTGAAGGAGTTGTCATCGGCGAAGACACAGTTGCTCTCGTGCAGACCAGGCCCCAAGTCTAGACACTGGCACTATGTAATATATGGCACAGTTTTCACTCGTTGTCAATGGCGCCGGTAACGGCAACGGCAAGTGGAAATACGTGTGCGCACACAAGTGTGCAGGTTATGTTTCTGTGTGCACGTGAACATTTACGTGCATTTATTTGCACATGCACCAGTATAGTGTAGGGACACCCACGATTATGTGCATGCGTATGCAAACATTGCAACACATCCTTGTAACGGACGCGAGCTGCACTTCCCTTCAGCACATGCTCGGGGACAGATGCCATTGGCGAGTGACATCGATTGGCAAAAACACCGCGTTCCCCACTGTTAATGGCTGCAGCAACCCATCCGCCAATCCCCTTTCCCTGTTGCCCTTTCATCCAGGGTTGCGCAGCTCCTGGGGGTCACTTCCTCGAGCTGCGCTCGAGCTGTGCAGATGTGCATAGGGAAATGGCCGTCCATTTGAACTGTTGGCAGCGCATACAGAGCTGCGCAAATAGATAACGCTCACCCTTTCTTCAGTGTGACACGGTTCAGCCATGAAAGGCCGGTTGCACAACTAGAAAATGCGTAACCTTCACCCTGCGTAGAGTACTGTTGCCCTCTTACTTTCTGCAGTTTCTCTTATGTAAGAAAGTATGCCAAAAACAAAAAAAAACAACACGCTTCCAAAAACATTGAGTAGACCAAGCCGCCCGGAAGCGAGGGATGCAGTGGCAGTGTAAGAGCAACTGGCGCCCATTCCAGCACTGCCCGATGCGAAAACAAATAGACAAACGAAAGTTAAACAGTGTACTTTTGAACTTTGTAAAAACTGGGGCACGTGCGCAGCAACCCACCTGGGTGCCCCTCAGCCTGTTTCTCTGTCGTTAACATGCATTGCATCTGCCACAAACTCATCTTCGAATACATCGCATATTTTCGCGAAAAATCCGCGGACGACTGCAGTTAAGTCAAGCATTTGCATCTTGAAAGCAATGAGGTCTGCAGGGTCCCTATCAACGTACGCCTTCGGCTCGAAAGTTTCAAGTCTTTCCTGAAGGAGGTCCAGGTTCCTTTCGAGTTGCCCTTGATGAAACTCAAACAGGTGCTTCTGCCGACTTTCCGGGAACTCAGCGAAAAATGCAAATGCATACGACCACTTCAGCATTCGCCTGCACTCCACCACTTGCAGCCAGCCCTTCTCCAAGAAGTCCCAGTCAAAGTCTCCGAAATTAACGGGACTTTCTGCATCCCTGCTGGACGGGGAATTGCCATTTCGTTCCCCTGATAATGTAGGGCTGCTGCTTTCCGATCCACATCCATCCGGAACTTTCCCCTCTTCCGCATCAGCTGCAGCGTGAGGAGAAGCTGTATCCACTGATGAACGCATGCCAGGTCCTCCAGCAGTGGCGGCGACTTCCCGGCACTTCTGTAGCTGGCTGGACTGCATGCGCGCTGCCACTTGCTGTCCGTGATTGTGTGCTCTGTAGCGTTCAAAAAAGTGCGCATACCGCTCAAGCGAGTGTTGCGCGTCCGCGGTGCCGCCGTTCTGTTGAGATTCACCGCCTCGCTGCTCATAAACATTGCAACGATAAAAACTCCTAGTAGAGTGTTGCTTCCAATCACCAAGACACAGCCAGCAGAACTCATGCTGGCAATAGCAGCGCATGTGCATGCAACCCTTATCCTTTTGGATCGGGCGGTGGCACTTGGGGCATGGCTGCGTATTGCAAGAAATCCAAGTCACGCTGTCGGCCTCTCGGACGTTCTTCCGCATCCACGCTGCGATGACGCGACAAGAAATGGGGCGGTGAGGCTCGTTGCCACACAGGACGCAAAAGCGAGCGCCGCAACTGCAGGTCACATCTGCGACCGGTGCAACTTCTGCTGCTGACAAGTTGCAAAAGGAAGATTCAGTGTCCGAGCAGCTCATTGCTGCTGGGACCAACTCCACTGCTTGTTCGCACGTAGGCGACGGGCACCAGGCAACAGCAAGGTGCTTCCCCACAAACTGCTCACGAGCAAACATTCGGAGCCGGGCAACTGCTGGCGGTCCCCGGAAAAAGTGCCACACATCCATAGTTACGAGCTCTAAGCATCCAGGAAAGGGGCACCTGGATAACAAGAAACATAAGCACATCATTCTAAGGCAATCGCCGTGAATGAAGATCTGCAGTGGTACGCCTAACGAAGGAAGCACAAATTTTGCACTTCAGCTATGTCAAACAACAGACAAAAAGACTCCCGATTCACAATTCAGTGCACATGCACTCCGAAAATCAAATGTTATAGTGAAGCACACCGCCCGCACGGGTGAAACACGCCAAAATAATATCACCATTGCATTTACAAAGGGGTATATGTTGCATTGGCTACCTAGCCGGATGCTGAAGGCAGCTAAGGGTCACAACGCCCTCTCTCTTCACCCCACCACACGAGTGGCTGCGTAGAGTCAGAATGAGTGCATGAAGCACCGAGATCTATTATGGAATTCGTTCACCCATTCCACTTGCACAGCACAACTCCAGGAAAATATCTTCACCCTATCGCAGGCGCGAGGGCCTCACAAGCGAATCCTGCGCCAAGGGATGTTCAGCGATGCGCCTGCTGCGCCAAGGGATGTTCACCGCTGACTCACCGGGCATCAAGAGCACGCTGCGGGCTCTCTGTTACCAACGCGTCTAAATATCCTATCCAGGCGCTGAAGCAATCAAAACAACGCATGTGAAGACCCCGCTGACTCTAGTGTGCATTGATACTTGGCACTTTCAAGGTGAAGGCAGTCTAGGCGTGTTGAGCGGCTAAGTTTTAAGCTTTGCTCACGCATTGGAAAATCGGTGGTTGCACTTGAGAGCAAACGTGTCACTCATGGGAACAAGATTTGCAGTGACAGGGCACTCAAACATGCCGCCAGCTTCTTCCTTATTGGGCGCTTCCGCAGAAGATGGAGCCTCTCCCGCTGCAGCTTCCTTTGCATCCGTTCGGCTGTGAGCAGGAGCATAGCCATCGGAGGCAGCGGAATTTGTGTTATGCTCCTTCTCCGCCTCCCGAAGCTCAGGTGGAAGCCTCCCCTGCATTGTCAAGCACACTCTCACCTACAGTAATTCTACACCAACAGAGAACTGATAAGCATACCTAGTGGAGAGTACGCAGCTGAACGCATACATATAAAAATGATTAGTTAGCTTTAGCTCAGCGGAATGCGCAGGTAACCCTCGTTAAGCCTCATGCATGAGTACTCTCCGCATACCTTTCGAAGAACCGCAGCGCTGTCATTGAACCACTCCTGGACTAAGGCGTCGCTTCGCCAGTCAAACGCGCGTAGTAGGATTCTGCATGCAATGAATAAGAACCCAAGAAACCCTGTAAATGAAGTTAGGAAAACTCGGACAAGGAACGAATCCTGTTGAATCCGTGCAGTTAAGAGGTGTCTTCAACCATGACGGGAGAAAAACTAACCCAACAACAGCCTCGTCTAGGCCCAAGAGGTCTGCAGTTTCGTGAACAAGCTCGTCAATCCGCCTATCCAGGGACTCTGGTGAGTGGTAGCGGGGGATTAGACCCTGAAAACAACAGTCAGAGTTGGTGATTCCTAAACGAGACGGCCACTCAACAAATATGCTCATAGCAAAGCAACCCAACTTAGAAAGCGGACCCCGAAGCAGGTTTGGGCCTATGTTAGCTTAGCAGAAGCTCATACCTTTGCTTTAGGGGAAGTACGCGAACTGCCCATGAGTTCATCATCATCGAAGACGAACTCTTCGAGATCGCAATCCTCAGCAGATGCATGATCAGACTGCACCTCCATTTTGGTTGGGTGTCTGTTGTTAAGCCACGATGAAGCAGTGGACTTCGCTGCGCTGCACCGTGCTGCTGAATTGAACTTGACACGTGGCAACACCCCGTTATGCGGCTGGTTAGAGTGGGCGTTACTAAAGGACGCCGCGCTAGTTCCTACTGCCTAGCAATGTTCGCCTTGTACACGCCCGTTTCAGCAACGCATTTAGAGCCATTCGAAACACGCGGAGCTTGAGGAGGTATTAACTCACTGATATTCAAAATACGCGAGAAGGACAAAGAAAACAACGTAATGGGCTGGCTCAAGTCCGCCTCTCCCACCTCTTGAGAGACTATGCGTCACTGGGGCGCATCTCCGCATAACGCCTCCTGCTGGGATCTTGCAGAAAACTGTAAAGCTCTGATATATAAAAAAAGACAATGAAGGTTTTCTTCGCATTGAATGCGGCAGTTAGTATGTCAACGCTCCCGGAAGCCCCATGGCACAGCAAGAAGGGCCTGTCACTCCTTCCACAGCGGGAAGCGATTATGCAGTTGATAAATTCCGATGACACTACTATTTTTTGTCCATTACACGCTGTCAGGGCACACACATGGTGGAGATCATAGACGTTCTGTCTAGGGACACAAACCTGTCTCAGCACAGGGAACCCGCAAGTAGCTCCGAGTGGCGACAGCGCCACTGTCTGTTACGGAGAAATCCTCCATGTAGTTAACTACGTTTTACAATGTCATACGAGCGGCTGTTGAGTTGTATCTAACTGTTGCCTGTCTCCACTAGAGAGGGGGTTGTATATACGTTGGTTTGTAGGCTGGTCTCGCAGCTGATGGTACACGTGTTTCTACGTGGGTGCAGGCTGGCTACCGGTGGACAAATAAGCGTTTAACAATTGTCTCCTGTGTTAATATGTGAGGCAGAATAGGGGTGAGTTATGCTTGCTTGCAAGGTTACCTTGCTACGGGAGTTGCGCTGCAACTCGTTGCAGGCCTCACTAGACCAGCCACCTGCCGTTTTGCCCTTGTGCCCAGGTCTCCTGGAGAGATGTGCGGGAGGCCAACTGCTTTTTACCTATAACAACTCACTCCATCCTTCGGCTAACACCGATAACTGTGTACGTTGTTGCAAGCTGTGCTGCCCTTACGGCAGGGTATCTCCGGCAGCGACGCCCAGGTTCATAGGAATGAATAGGACGGAGGGAAACTTAAGCAACACATCAAGGAGGGCAGCTTTCCGTCGGTAACTGTGTGGTTTCCTTCCGTTCTTGCATTGTGACCTTCCTTCTCGGGGGGTTTTGGCATCAATCAATACCAGTTGTGAGTAACTGCAGCAACTATACCAATCGATATATAACGGGAAAAGTCTGCCATATGTGTTTTCTGCTCGACTGCATGGGGAGCTGCACACTAGACCGCATTTTGCCTTTGCTGTAACGATTCCTCGATCTTAGCTGAGGACCGGTGAGGGCAGAAATAGAATCAATCTATTTCCAGTGAATGCTCCACCAAAGCCAGTTGACGTCCCGCCCATTGTCAAATCGCCCTTGGCTCAGCGTCACAAGGGCATGGGCCTGATGAGGAGAGAATGCGTGGGAAGCAGGGGCACACTTTGCTGAGTTAGAGCACCTTACGAGAAACGACGGACCAACCCCACAAAAAACGTTGGACTATCCACCCCCCATCCACCCCCTCCCGCCCACCGCCTAGATGGTAGCACTAAGACAGGCTGGAAGTGCTAAATATTCAGCATACATGCAAACGTGCATGCATGCAGGGACTTCTGAGAAGCCCTGCTGCGTATACTGTCCCCCAATCGCCGGACGGTGGAGTGAGCGAAAGCTCTTCTTTAGGAACACCGTTTCAACCCGATCTCAGAACGCAAACAGAAATAAAAGGCAAGCAAACGTCCACGCGCTGCGTCACAGCACATCTGTTGCGTGGGGACGGGCTGTAGCCAACTGCGAACCCAATCCGGAAAACATGCATTAGTGTGCTGTAGTCCTCCGTTGCAAGCTTGGTATGAGTGGCAGCTGCTCGAACATCTTCGAACGAAGAGAAATACAACTTCAAGGGAATGACATAACTACACAGTTGCTCAGTTGAAGAGCATACTGCCCGATCCAAATGGTTTCTAGACAATGCATCAGCGAGCACGCTGGTGATATACTTGATATACTTGCCTGTGAACCTTCGTTAGCAATTTCACCAGTCCTGAAAATGTTTTCAGCAAACGCCTTAGTAGTAGATGGTTCGTTTGAAAGGAAAAAGTTCTGGAGTGCAAGTGTTGTAGGCGCGGTCTTTCACCCCACCAGACCGCGTAAAGGTCCTTCGCAGATACCGGATACTTCTGCTCTCGTTCCGCGAAACAACGGGGTAGAAGGAGGTCACTTAGCACTTTTTCCGGTTCCCCAGATTGCAGAGAGCTCATCACACTAGTCGCTGCACATATTACGTCAGTTGCTAGGAAAAGCGTTTGCCTAAAGAAGGGAAAACGAACACTGGAGACAGTCTCAGGTGTCTGATGGGACTCCTTGCAATATCTTACTCGGTCTGCCTAAACAAGCCCTCTTTTGTGACTACATCCGCACAGGAACGGCGAAGCGTGCGGATCTTATGCCCCAGCGACGGTACTACGGTTCGAGAGCGAAGCACTCCTGAGCGTCCATGAGAGGGTACAGGGGGAGCCTCAGCTGCAATTAGTGCCCCAAACCAACCCCACCTGTAGTTACCGCCCACACCGTGTTCGACGCATGAACCTAGGCAATGTTCAGTTGCTAAACACTCTATGGTATGCTTGTTGCCAACATACACACAAAGCTGCCTGTGAATCAGACTTGCGGTCTACCGCACAATCTAATCAACTATATTCACCAATCATAGAATTAAATTGCTTCGAAAGTCCCTTTCGAGGCTCCATAGTCGACCCTATGAAGCCAATTCGCAGTTCACCTGCCACTCGCTATCCTTTTACCAAACGCCAAAGCATCCAAGGCATGGAAAGGACGGTACACGGGATAAATGAAAAATGTATAAGCGAAAAAAAAGAATGTTTCTGTGCAACTGCGTCAGAGGGTGGGCTCTTCCTGAATGATCTGAAAACCACCGGTAGCTGCAGGGGCTGGTGGGTGGGTTCTCTGGTCGTTTTGTAGAGGGGGACACGTAGTAATATCCACTGCTGGCGCATTCATACACAAACATTGAACGTATTACGTTTAATTTCTTGACTTTTTTACTCTCAAGGCCTGCTCTCGGTGCGCCGGCGACCGGCGTTTCCCCGTGCAGACAGGCTGACTGCATATTGCAAAGCAGCTTCGATCCTTTTCTTTCATAATTTAGGCAGCATTCTTACTCCTGCGGGGATACATACGAAGGACACAATGCAGTGCTGGGAACGCTTCCTTGCTGCCTCAACGTCACGGTAAACGAGGACATCTGTGGGATTCTCTCACTTCTCATCATGAGGCATGCTGCAGAAACTCTTCTGCGGCGCGCAGTCGCCGAAGGCACCGTAACGGTGGCCGAGTTGCAAGGTGAGAAATGCTAAAGACAGATGCTCTACCGCCACGGGCTCTGCACATCGCGTTGCCTCTGTGTTTCTCCGGGTTAGCTTTGAAGTACTTCACCATTTCTTGGTGTGCCACTCTTTGAGTATGTTCGGTGCAGCCCACCCACAATAGGCTTATCCAGAGATCCACATCATGCTTCCTCATGGCCTTTCCTTACTCTCGTTTCTTTCACTGCTCTGTGTGCTGCAGGCTTCTGCCAGACGGACTATGCAGGAGTTGCACGGATACTTAAGCTGGACGCAGGTCTAAATGAGGTGGTTATAGCTGTGAAGCTTCAAGAAGTGCGTGGAGAAACAAAATAGTTGCTTTTGGTATATGAAACATTGTGTGACTCGGATTGTTTTGCTTTAGCGCGTATCTCGGCGGGACATCTGCCGACTATGCACACTGTTGCGGCGTTATGTTGTCTTCACAGATAGGCGGAGCGGCCCTCTTGGCAATGCAGCCCAAAGACTTTGCGTCTGCCCTGTCCCTTACCCACGCTCAGCAAGGAGAGCGTTTGGAAGCTTTTTTGTCCGCTCTAAAGGAAGTGGCAGCAAACCCGGATGGGTGCGCGCAGCAGCAACAGGCAGTTCCCGCAGCTGCTGATACTGCAGGCACAGCTGCTGTTACTGCAACCAAAAAGAAACGGCGAAGCGACCAAGAAACTGTTGCGGCGGCAGCGCCTGTGCAGCGAAAAACTCCAGGTGTTCCTAAGGGCCTCCGGGGACCTCGTGTCTCGGGCCTGAAAAGGCCAGCACCCACTGCCCCTGTTATCGAAAGTACGGCAGTTTCCGTTGCGCCTATCTCTCCCCCAGTGGCAGCAGCGGCTGTACAGTCTGGTGAAACGCAGATGCAGCAGCAATTAGCAGATCCACCCGTCCCGCACGAGGGACAAGGCAACAACCTCGGAACAGATTCTTCAAAGAAGCAGCGGCAGAAAAGAGATAAACGACAGAGCAAACAAGCCAAAGGGAAAACAGGAGATCCTGAGGTTAAGAACCAGCCGCAAGTGCGACGAAAAAAGCAACAACAACAGCAGCCGGAAGCAGCAAGCCGGACTAGTGGCAAAAGCCACCTGCGAGCAAAGCTGATGGCTTGGGGAGCTTCCATATTGGGTCTCAAGGGCCGGTTTGACTCTGCGCTGAGGCAAAAGGCGGCGTATAGGAACAAGCGGGTGAGTGGTCAGTGGTAATATGCAGGAACGCAGAATAGTTCAGTGTTTCTTGGTTGCAATGTTTTATGTCAATGCTGCTCCTGTTGCTTTGCGTGGCAGGCGCTCCTCTCCACAACTGGATTCCCGGAAGGCGCGGGTGTACAGAACGAACTGCCGACCCTTGTACGGCGATTGGGAACATTGAATGGAGTTCCCGCGGCATTCGAGTGGAAGCCCCAATATCCTGAAAAAATCACCCACCTTATTTGCAGCAATGAGTTAGTGGTGAGCCATGCAACGTTGCTCGCACTGGCTTAGCTCTTCTTTGTTGTGCACGCAATACACGGGACGGGGCGTATCTTGGTTTGGGTGCATTCGTCCGCCTGAGCGTTCATACGTGCATTATGTTGATGGCCAGCTGATTCGCTACATTGAAACTGTTGCAAACAGTTTCAATGTTTTTCTTTTTCGGTGCTCCTCGCTTTTGCCTGCGTTGTTGTTTGCTGCAATCAGCGCCCCACAGTGAAGCTTTACTTTGCCTTGGTGAACGGAGCGTTCATTTTGAAGGAAGAGTTTCTCCAAGAAGCCAGGAAACAGAAGGTGAGGCCACCCCTTTGCTGCGTCTACGAGAAAAACCGAGCTTGAATGCGTAGTCTTCTACTATTGCTGCTGCATCCACTCCGCATTTCCTTTACTGCTGCCGCTGCTACAGGCATGGCCAGATCCTCAACAGTTCCAGAGGTCAGATTTTCCGTCTGTTGAACAGCGGGACAAGTCTCGTTGGCTTTTGAGGAGCTTGCCTGTTTGCATCGATGGACCTTACCGTCCTTCTGGCCTCTCCAAACAACAGCTGCAGACACTGGTATGTATTTCCTAGATGCATTTCCTAGAGTCGTGCCCCTCACCCTGGAGTATCAGCTCATTTATGCGCGGATTCTTGGGCGGCAGGGGCTCTGTCGGGCGCATATGGACATGTACCGTGGAAGCTGGTGATGCCGCAGGTTCTCTCTGCTGGAGGAATCTTGGAAGATGATGCGCCTGCAACCGTTCGGGTGCTGGAAGACCTAGAGGCGCTGCGCCGCCGGCAGGCCAGAGGCTTATGGGACTTTCAGGGAGAGGGAAAACAGAAGCCAGTTGCTGTTTCTACTCAGTGGCTACTCGATTGCATCAGGTCATGGGAGATGCTGCCACGGGATAATTATGTGCTTAGCCTGTCGAACCCGCCTCCAAGTAAATTGGGTGAAAACACCGCTGAGGTCGCACAGAAGAAACGCCCGAAAGAAGCGGAAACCGGGAGCAGCCTGGGCAAGAAGGGAAAGACGGGGAGGGGGCGGAAGAAGCGAACTGATATGGTAGGAGATGGCTGTGAGGGTTTGCCTCAGAGCGAAGTATCGAAAGGGCCGAAAGAAGGGATGGCAGCCCTCCAGATAACGGTAGAGCAACCGCAAGGATCGCTGGGCCGGCAGCCAGATGCTGCAGCAGAGTCAGAAGAGAATGCTCCCAGCATGGCACAGCCTATTCACGCACAGCAAGAGGAACGGAAGAACCCAGAGCCAAACCCTGCACAGCCAAAGGAGGAGCAAGGTGCATCAGCTGCAAAGGGTGTTGCCCGGCAAGGAATGAAGGAGCGCTCGTCTTCCAAACGCCTTCGAAGTGAAGGAAAAAAACCCAGTGAACATGGCTCTCGAAAGAAGAAACTACATACTCCTCTACCTGCCGAAGAGAAGCAAGACGTAACTGTACTGCGAAACGCCTCAGACGCATTGCCAGAGAGCGGCAGCGAAGTAACTGCCCCTGCGGGTGATGTGGCAGTGACAGTGGATGCAGCCCCTACTGCAGAGAAACAGAGCCCCCTTAAGGACAAGCCGACAGCGAGAAGTCCAACTGGTGAAGGGGGCTGCACCGAAAATGAAGACGGGTTAGCTGCTTCGCCTGCTGTTGATGACTGGCAACCACCGGAGGAAAACTCTCCCCTTGAAGAAGGGGGGGCTGCAGAAGCAGTAGCATTTTCACCTGCTGCTCCAGCAGCGGAGGCAGCCACCGATTTCCCTCAACGCGAATGCCCAGCTAGCACTTCTCAGGCTACTGCTGCCGGGGATGCCTTACAGCTTCCTGGAGAACATCTGGATGTGGCGGGTTTGTTTGAGCCAGAGGAAGCAGACGCTGCTGAGTACAACTTCGATCTCAAGGACAATTGTACCATGGGACAGAAGTTGGAGGATCTTCAGACGAATGAGCCCTCAAACACTCAGCGAGACCCTGTGAGTGCATCTCATCTGAACGAGAACATGCCGAGCAATACCGAGCAATAACTGTAAATAGCGCATGGGGAATATGCCAATATCATGCCGTGCGCGTCCTTTTCGCCATTAGAAGCGCGTTTTATACGCCAACAGCGAAGGGCCACACTCCGTAAACCACTGCAGCGGGCGTCAAAGGAAGCAAAGCCTGGATCGCAAGGGAGCATGTCTAAGCCTACCAACAAGCCACCAAATAGTGCATATCTTCGACCCGAAAAACTCCATTTTCTTGACATGAACGCGCTTTGAAATGCCGTATGTGTGTCTGAGGCAACGATACTGCCTTGGGTAGGGAGTTTGAGTCGTTAGCTCATCGCAGCAGCTTTGTAGGAAGTGTCTTTCACTAAGGCGCAAAGGGGAGCTTCCTCTAACTCCACGGGCCAAACACGAACTAGAGGATGACTAGATACAGAGCCCCGTATGGATGCCGGCCCACGTACCTTTAAGTGACAGCGTTCAGAGTAAAGACTTACTTAGGCAGTCGCTGGTCATTCAGCCGCTACACTGAAACCGCCGTAGTACATGGCAGTGAAATGCCTACAAGGCACCAGCCTAAAGCAACCATGGACTTGGTTTTTCCGGTCTATACCACTACGCACATGGCGTGCCAGTCACTAAGCTCACCAACCGCTACAGAGTTTGGGGTGCAAAACTACAAGTACAAATTGTAATCCCTTGTTTGGTTTAAACCCTTAAAGCAAAGGTCCTTTGGACGGAGTCTGGGGTGCAAAGGCGGCAGTGTTAGCCCACTGGGTTTCGCCTTCAACTGGTGCGCAGACCAAACGTAGAAAAGTCCCGCTTTTCAAGGAAGAGGGTACGCTTTCGCGCGTTATCAAAGTTCTGTTGAGTAACGTTTGCCAATCCGCCTCTGTCAGCGGTTCACCAACTGTCGTCATTAGATGGTGCAGCTCTTCAACGTTGACACTCCCCTTCTTCTCCCGATCCAATAAGTGGAATGCATCCAGGACATCTGCGGGATCTACTGTTCGTGGAAGCCCGTCACGGAAGATTGAGCAAAATGTTTCGAAGTTTACAGATGTGACCTTTAGACGACGCATATCCGCCTCAAAAGCTTTGACTTGCTCAAGTCGCACTACAAAGCCCAAGCTTCTGAGCATCGACGCAACCTCAGCAACAGGGACAAGCCCGTCTCCATCTGTGTCATATAGACGAAAACATTCCAATGCTTCTTCCTGCAATCCTGGGCTGCAGGCTGCTTGGTGCTTTCCCCCAGCTGCAGGATTGGCGACTTTCGGTGCAGAAACGAAATCAACCGAAAAACCTGTCTTCTGCTTTGAGGGCTTCGAAAAAAATATGGTAGATGCAGGTGCCCGTACAGATGAGTCATATCGTTCAGGATGAGGATTGCGGCGCCTTCCGCGTTCGCTAGATGTATTAGCCCCCAGAGGGCCCTGAGAAAATGGAAGCATTTTGTTTGAACGCGGATGTACTTCTTCGCCTTGAGACCGACAGTTGGATGGTTCTTCGTGGTCTTGGTGGTCGCCGACGACCGGCCTACAAGTGAGGCGGAATAAATCCTCCGCCAACGATTTAGTCTCGAAATATATATAAGTATGGTTCTGGATGCCTGGGAGAGCAAATAAATACCCTTGCTGTTTGCCTGGTTGGCGCTAAGTCTTTTTGTCCGCCAGCCTGGTCTCACGAGCTAGACGGCTGCTCAAAGGTGATTGCTTCGTACCACCGAAAGAAAAATCCCAAAACTAGAACCCCGGAACAAAAGCTTCCAAAAGTACAAAATCATCAGAAAATAAGAGCTAATGTGCTGAGACAAGTAGAAGTTCGTAAGCGTGCAGCCTTCCAGCCTTCTTAGCCCCCCGATGCCAGCGAGGCGCCGATGGCCGCTCTAAGGTCTTTGAGCGCAGTGCGTAACCAGAGCACACATAGGAATTCTCCGCTGGTTCTGTTATATTCTGGTGCATTTTTGACTAAGAAATATTCTTGACACTTTATCACATCGCAGGAGTCCTGGCAAACTTGTTCGTGAAGGTCTGTCAACCTGCCTGTACTGGCAACTAACCGCCCCAGTTCATTTTCCGCTAAGAAGCTCCTCATGCTGGTAACCCCTACCTGGAGGAAAGCATAGGAATGCGGTTAGCTGGAAAGTGGAGATTGTTAGTGCAGCGTTCCTTGATTTGCACTGAATGTAGGGTTGTGGTAGGCGCCTCTATGAAATATCCAGTCGTACACTAAGCTCAACCGTCAATGAGCGCTAGCAAGTGCAGCAAGACACATGAACCAGTTTATGCTACATGGCATGTCCGGGTTGAATGTTTCGCACCTATTGGGATGAATGGCGCTTCATCTCCAAGGACACGGTATTGTGTAAGACTGGCAACGCATTCCGCACCGTGCAAACGCCAATAATTTAGCCGCGTAGCGATATCCGTAAATGATTGCATTATCAGCGTGCCGTACATGCCAGAATAATTCACCATTCTCACACGAGCCCATCGATCGAAGTCACTGCGAAGACGCTCGACGGAGAAACTTGCAATTTTCGATCACCTCCGTTCTCAGGGAGTACAATCAACCTGCCATAGTACGCGCGTGCAGAAGGGAAGGGGGAATGATATATATTGGACTCCCTATTGGTAAAACAAGAAGAATCCACCAATTTCCACAAACGGCGAATCTGCATCTTTGCGTATCGAGTTTTATGAGGAGCCTCTTAGATGCGATGAAATTTTCAAGGTCCTAATGTTCAGTGAAGGGACAAGCTGGAATAAACTTTTGTTGCTAGTATGATTCGTAGGTGATGACAGGGAGTGTCCTTTGTGAGCAACATGATTTGGAGTTTGAGGAGCCAGGTGCATTCACGTTCTGCCCTTCAAAGTTGAATTCCAGTAATCTGCAGTAGTATGAAAGATAAACAGGGTTTTGGCACGTGCCCAAATCATCGGCAGACAGAAAATGCTGAACGATTGCTTCCCGTCTTTCGTAGCGCGTCAGCCGTACTTGAGAGACAGACGGCCCTCAGAGTTACGATCCAGCACAAAACTGGAGGAAAGAGGCAGTTGTGTACTGTAACCATATTTTCCAATCAAAACTAATTTTAAAGGAGAAGAAGGCATGGCACTTTAAAAGCTACAGTGAGACTCTTGTAAGTGGCCTCGCTGTAGTTCGTTCTCCATGAAATCTACAAACATCGGCGACGGTTATACTGTCGTTGCCTAGTGAAGGACGAAAGCTTCATAGGGGCTAGAGGATATGGCGGAATTTAATGTGGGTCAGGTGCCGTCTCCACGCAAGGGTGGAGGATTCCAGTTATACGAAGCCGACTGCGTTAAAATCAACTACAACGCACAACCTTTTACTGCTAGAAACATCGGTCATTTACTTCAGTTGATCGCGGGGTGTAGCATGGTCTGCCTGCCGTTAGCACAGGAGCCTCCATTTGGGCTTGGTAAATTGCGTGTAAACTTTTCCAAACGTCCTATAAGTGTATTCATAGGGAAACCACGCAGTAAAGGAAGCTTCAGCGAAGCTTCCTTGTCTGTAGGCGTGAGGCTGGCTTGTATTACCAACCGCAGCAAGGTGCGCTGCAACCCCACTTCAGCAACATCCAGGCCTGAGCTCAACGTCAAGGATGCCTGAGGAGAGAGGAAGGAGGTCAGCTGCTTTTGGGAAACTCTTACTTTAAGTCTTTACCTACACTGCAGCGCGTTCCGGTCCTTCATTAAGGCCAAATAGCAAACGTTATACGGGGCGGTAACCGAAATCCTCCTTGCCTACTGGCAGACGGGTTCGAGAGCAACACAGCTCCAGACCCAACGTAGAATATAGACTAACGGAGCAGCAACTGTTTTATCGGAGCGCTGTGTCACTGGGGATAAAACATTTTTAACTGCTAGGATGAGAGCGAATCGCTAAGGTATCATCAAAGATGGTGACCGACATACTACACGCATGTCCTGACCAAAAAACTGTCTGCTGGAATAACCAAGCCGAAGAGCTGAAAGAAAGATGTGTCTGTGGAAGGCGACACAGCTCGAGCAACAACTGAGCCATGCACCGGATGGAGTCAAAAGTCTAGATATGAGACACGCCTTGCGATTAAGAAGCCGAGGCGAGAAAAAAGTGATGATGGAACAACGTCATATTCAGGAGGATATGTATTGATTCCGGATCCAAGTTCAAAAGTGCAGAAATCTCCGTGTTTTTCGTTGAGGATGTTTCATTCAAAGGGGCGAGTGCCTCGTTATGGTGACCCAACTCCCCGGAGGCAAGATGACGAAACTTGTCAGGTAAGTCCTCTATGGCCGAAACAATGTAAATGAATATACCAGATTAAAATTTTAGAGGCTGGAGGATATGTTCGGCAAAATCATGTCCCCTTCCTTCGGAGTACGGCAGTGGCACCCGGCAACAATGAACACCTACACCGAAAAATCCACCCCTCACATTGGGTTTCCACTATTGGAACCCATAAATATATAAATATTTTCATCACTGGTGAGGGGTGAAATAATGCCACATTTGGATGTTGAACTGGGTGTTGAAGTCCTTCAGTAGGGGATATACATTCACTAGAAACCTGCCCCCCTCGAAGGCTGTGCGATTACAAGCTACTTTATGCCCACCTCTGGATGTGATTGGGCGCATGTGTATAGAAACATCTAAAATATAGGCAGGTGAATGTTGCCCAAGCCAGAAAAGCGTGAGTTGGTGTGTATGAAGGCCCCGTAGAGTGATCTGAGCACTTCACGCACGGCAGCGAGGCAGATTGTTGAAGGTGAACACTGCCTACCCCACTTACCCCACAAGAAGTTGTTTTTGATTCGAAACAAAAACGACTGATTGCGTTCATTTAACGGAGGGAAACAGCCTGGGAAACTACAAGAAATAAAAATCCGGTGACCCGGAATCGAACCAGGGACCAACAGATTACCGCAGCATCTACAGTCTGCCGCTCTACCAACTGAGCTATCACCGGTGAGAGGGACTGCCCAGATCTGTTGCCCAATGACAACTGGAGTGTAAGACATCTTAACTTATGCCCTCTGCTATATCATGTTTGCCATTTGGCAATCATACCCTAAGTACGAATGTCATGCGCTGGACTATGCATTGGTGCCACGCAGACAGCAAGTGCGATTTACGCAGTTCCACAATGCGTCAAGACAATGAAACAACAGAAGTGAGGACACAGAGTCCCTCTAAAAGGAACCAAATGAAATAGTTCTGAGCAGATTGTTCCTGCTCGCGAAACAGGGAAGGCCTGAACAGATAGCCGCCTCAGTTCTGCGGAACCCTGATCGACGTGATCTGGGTTTGTTTTGGCATCTGATGAGCCATTCTAGCTTGTTTCCTGCTTGTGCTGCATTATATGGTCACCGTTGCCAGGTGAACTAGTGTTCAGTCCTAGTGTACCAGACATTATGCACATTGTAGGGAGTACCAGGGCTATCATGAGCCTGTTGCACGTTGCTTCCTCCACGTCAGTAACGACCTAGGCGCCTTCCCTTGGGATAATCCTTTCCTCGTCGCTTCTCTTTAAGTCTCTTAGCCCTTTCCATCCTTTCCATCCGTGCGGCATGCCATTCCTTAGACCTGTGGCGAAACAATGTCAAGTCTGTTCGTACGTATGCAACGACCGAAACTGGCCTGGTGATACCGAGCCCCTCTAGGTCTATAGTGCTTGGAGGGGAAAGCACGTGTATAGAAAGAACAAAGGAAGACGCCAGGAAAGTAAGGGCACAGTCGTTCAGGGATCATGAACTATGGGAGAAGTCCCATATATGCGCTACATATGGATCAAACCTACCTGGGGGGCTTCCAGCCTCCTCGTCGCGCTTTCGATTTCGGCTTCGCTTGTCGGATCTTGGTTGCTGAAGCAACATAGCCACATGCCCACTCTACCGGTGATACAGCACGATCACTTTTCCTGGGGGCAACGCTATTGATGCCTTAAACGGGAAGTGCAGATGAACTATCATTGTTGCCCGTGTTAAACAATAATCATGTAACTCCCAAACACGCCAGACAACCATGCGAGCATTGGACAATTCACTGCAGTTGTGACATCGGCAGTAGGGCAAGGTCTCACATCGGTAGCCGGAAGGACTCTTAGGCCTAGGAACGCGCTCATCTATTCCCTCGACAGAAAGTCCTGCAGAGAGAGATGCCCTCACTGCTGCTGCAACAGCTGCGTCCTTCTTTGATACGAAGGAGAGCACAAACCCTTTAGAGTCAACTCGCCCAGTTCGTCCGGCCCTGAGATCATGCACGCATCCAATCAAAAACAAGTCACTTTCGGGACATCGTTTTCTGGCGCAAAGATAGCCCCTTTCTACTGCTCTCGCCAGCAACGACTGTTGGTGGCAGAAGCAGTAATAAAGGCTATCTTTGTGCCTCGGTGGGTGACGATACATGAGTTTATGCCTAGGTGACCATTCAGCACAAGACAGTAAGCCCCAACCTGTGCAAGTACTCCACTGTCGTTAGGGGGAAGTCTGCATTGACGACAACATCCACTCCGCCGATGTGGATACCGCGTGCTACAGCGTCCGTAGCAACCAAAATTCGCTGACCGCTTCCTTCTTGAAATAAACGGAGGTTCTTTTCTCGCACGCTGGCAGGTAAAGAGCCGTCATAGCCCTGCGTCGCAAGACCAGAAAGCACAGGGGGTCGAAAACTCTTATTGCGCAGTATCTAGAATTCCCCTGCACTCCACTGACACTGCAAAAGCTCGAACAACGCCTCAGGCCAGCCTGCATCCAACGTTGCTTTTTCCCTCATTTCCCTTTCCCATCCCACGTGTACCTCTGCAGGGAGATCAGCAGCTTGCAGGTGGTGGCAGCAGGCGCGGCAGCTATCGACTGTGTTGCAGAAGATCAAAATCTTTTTGGCCCGCAGCTCTGGGTGGATCTTTATTTGTTCAACAAGCAACAAAAAACGGTCGGTTCCACCAGCCTGCATCATTTCATGACGCAACTGAGTCTGGGGAGGAAAGGATGGGCCTCCTGAGACAGTGAGAATCCTCTCAGCCGGCAGCTCTAATAGCTCACAAAGGTCCGCCTCAATCCCACTATTAGGCGTAGCTGTGCAGGTCAGCAAGACTTTGGGTCGAGCCCCTATGCTCTCCTGTTCCCCCTTTTGTTGTGAGCCTGCAGGGAGGAAATGGGAACGAATCAGCAGCTTCTCAACCTCCGCTCTGAAACCTCCAAGCCATGATGCATCTGCTTCGTCGAGAATGCAAAACTGCACGCTTTCGAGGCTCGGCAATCCCCAGATGGTTCTTTGTGTACTGTCATTCCTCTCTCCGGTCCCTGATGTTCTGCTCTCTACAGGGTTCGGACGCGTTAGGCGCAATAAGCGGTCTGGAGTGCCAATGAGGATATCCACAAGGCGACGCCGCAAAAGCCGAAGCTGGTCTCCAGTTCCGACCCCGCCTGTAGTGCAACCAACAGAAAGCCTAATGCGCTTTGCAAGCGCAGCTGCGGCAGAAGCTACCTGGGCTGCCAGGGGTCTTGAAGGGCAAACTACAAGTGCGCGCGGGCCTCTTGCACCAAAGATTGCTCTGTGGGACCCCCCGTGGCCTCCAAGGTTCTCCTCAAGGGCCTTGCAATCCATCAGATCTGTGTATTCCGCCTCTTCTCTCGCTCTACGCTTCTCTGCTGCAGCCGCTGCAGTTTCTTGTTCTCGCAACGTTTGCATTAGCGGCAACAAGTAGGCGAGTGTCTTCCCACTTCCTGTATGTGCTCGCAACGCCACCAAACTGTCGACAGGCAATCTATCCGCCATCGAGCTCCGTGACTTTCTCTCGGCCCTTTTAAAGGCCTCTAATATGTGAGGTACGACGCGCTGTTGAGTTGGCGTCGGCCTGGGTGCTGTTCCTCCCAAGAAAGCTGCTGCTGCAGAACTCACAACATTATTTAGCCCCAAGGCAGCGAACCGACCAGCACCAGCTGTCAAATCCGCTGGCCTGCTGCCTCCAGAAGTGCCTTCACTGTCCCCCGCTGCAGGTTTGTCTTTCAGGACAATTTTGGGTTTCCGCGAAGGGTCCAGAAGCTCCTCTTTCTCGACCTGTTGGTCGCCGTCATGTCTACTCTGGAATGCTGCATCGTTCTTGCTTATTGGTATTCCTACGCTCGCTGTGGGGACAACAATACTGGGGCTTTCAGCAGCTGCGGGTTTTTTGTCGTGCCTCTTGGCCGCTCCGGGGGACTCAGAAGCACTCGACTTCGGTTTGAAGGGGACCTCTACAGCAGCATCCACGGTCGTGGCCTTCGCGGGAGCTGAGTCACCAACGTCAACCCTATGGTCAAGGCAGTCGCTGCCGGTGACATGTCGCAGTGAATGCTGGGGGTCCTCTGAGACTTTAGGTTTCTCAGAATCTGCTTTGGTCGGTTGTTTACCTTCTAAAATCCCTTGAGACGTGCTGTTGTCCCGAAGGCTTTCTGTAGGCAACGGTTGGTCTTTTGGGCCTTCCTCAGAACCCTCAGGCTCCTCCATGTAATTGCAGCGTTTGAGCGAAGCCTTGATGCTCTCTTGCCTGGCTTGCTGTATAACACGCAGGTAGCGCAGCTTTACCTCTTCAGCACTAAGGGCCTCTGCCTCCGCCGCGGAAAGAGGACTCTCACCCCTAAGGGCGTTCTCAGGCAACTGCAGCAGCCGACGCCATGCTGACACAACCGGCAGCCCTCCAAAACCCACGTTCTCTGTTTGCTCGCCCACATTCTCAGCAGCAGCAGCAGCAGCGGCAGAGGCACTGGGAAGCACCCCTGCCCGCGGTCCATGGAGCCCCAACAGCTGACATACTTCAGGCTCCTTCGGAGAATATGCCTCAACCTCAGCCACTGCTAGAAGTGTTAACAACAGGTCTTTCTTAGCCTCCAAAGACAAATGCCTAACCTTCGCCTCCACAAACTCCCTTATGACAGCGGCCTCAGCCGCCAGTGCTTTTCGCTCTGCTGTCGTTGCATCTAACAGTGCTCCAACAGAATCCACTGCGCTGTCTTGCTGCTGATTCTGCTGCCCCCGCAGCGAAAGCTCTTGTGGAGGACTCTCAGGAGGAAGCAACGCAAGAAGTACAGGGCCCATTGTAACCAAGAGGTCCAAAACGTCGACTTCTGGCATCACTGGCAGCTGCTCCTGCAGCGCAGAAAACAGCCCTTCCCCCTCCTCTTCTGAAGAACCTATTTCCAGTAGTTGCTGAGCCTCGACAGCAGCTGCAGAAGTAGCAGCAGCAGCAGCGGCGTCAGCTTGGGCTAGAGCGCGTTGAGATGGTTGAACATTTGCCCCACTGTGCTGCTGCTGCCGATCTTCGTGCTCATGCTTCCTTGCTCGTTGCTTCTCCCTCTTCTGTTTGTATTTGCTGTCCTCCTTCTGCTTCAGAGGTTGAGGTTCCGGAAAGGGCTGCGCGTGTTGCGGCTTCACCTCACCACGAGAAACGGTTGTGGAGAGCTCTTCAGCGCCCACACTTACAGGATCAACGCCTTCGTGTGCGTCTGCCGCCTCTGCTAGGTTTAGCAGCCGCTCCACAAGGCCACGGAGCTGTTCAGTAGACAAGTTCTCGAGATCCGAGGTGTTTGGGGAGGGGAGAAGGCGTATGAGTTCAGGCGTTTGCTGCTTTAGCTCCTGCAGCAGCTGCAACAGGCCTTCTCGGCTTATTCCATCTAGCGTTGCGTCAATCTCAACCTCCTGAATATCTCCAGTCCCACCAGCAGAATTCTCTGATGGCGAAGTACGCGAAACCTCTTCTGCTTTTTGTTGGACGGGATCTGGCCGAAGAGGTTGCTGAGCAGCAGAACTGCCTGCACCTGAAGGCAGGGGCTGGTGACCCTCTGCTTGAGAAGGCAAGGAATTAAGACGCGAATAGCAAACAGTTGCAAGGGAAGCTCCAGGATTGAACAGATATCCACGCCATCTGGAGGTCAGCCAACTCCGCTGGTGCAGGTTTCTCCCAGAGGCCTCATGCCTGTAGTGACTCCATACGATTCGACAGGGAGGCGTCGAAGGTATCCAGGCAGAAGAGTTGACTCCTGGATCCTTGTATAGTTGGGACTTCCCCAGGTCCTCCGAGGTTCTTAAGAAAAAACAGAGACCGAGTCGGCTGAGGCCTAAATATATCAACACCTGGACCAGGAACCTCATGGTCTCCGTCGGCGCCAGACATTGTCTATACACTATGCATTACCGCGACGATGCGCCCGCTGCTGAATAACAACGCTTTAACCCGAAATCCATGAGCCCTCCAGGGATTGATGTAACTGTCATTGTCTACTGGAGCATCTGTTTATACAGCAAATGTGGCTGCAGCGGGAATCATCACGGGGCAGCAGATCTAGACCTGCTATATGCGATGAGTTATTTATGGCCAAGGTGAACTGAGACACGCACAGAAATATAGGGGAAGGCTGGCTGCCTTGAGTCCTCGAGCGTAGACTGAGCTGTTGAGGCCCCTGTCTTGCGCGACATGCAAATAGGCTACAGAAGCTCAATCCACCTATCGAACAGGCACAAAATAATCTTTTGCTAATAAATAGAGCATACCCGGCCTAAATATATGGAAAAGAGCGACTACAACTAAAGTAACAGCAGCACAGGGGCGCCTCCTGGGGCCCCGCAGGGACCATCGCCAGGTCTGGGTGACAAGGCCTTTCTAATAACCTGGACTTTTGAAGAGTATTATTCAGATGAGATTCCGTGCTTATGGGCTTTCAGTTGGAAAACTCTTCTAGAATTACAACCTAAGGTTAGCTGTAGGTATATAGGTGGGCGTTGTGTAGGTGGTTTCCGCCAGTGCTCGTCCAGGCGCTTGCAGTAGTTTAATGCTCTGTCTTAATATCCTTGTCGCTGATATTTCTTGTTGTTCATCGTTCCAGCCGGAAATGTGCCTGATTTCTTTCTTTCCTATTGTTTTTCTGAGCCGAGGCTAGAGCGACCAGTGCCAGCTAGTTAGAGTCGTGTTTTGCCGCCTTTGGCTTCTAGCCATAATATCTACGCCTTGAGACGGTTGCTTAGTGACTACAGACATGGGCAGATTGTTACTTCTTCCTCACTCTCCTCCTTGTGTTTTCATGGAGCGAAGTCACTCTCAGACATGGCATAACCACCGCCTCCGTTCGTCTGTCGGTGGTTTGGCCGACGCAAGTTGGTAGGCAAACACAACATCTCTTGTGAGCTTACAACGTTAGCCACCCGAGAGCTGTTTACGTGACCCCTCAGACTTGCTGTTCGCCTTTGGTGTCAGCCCCTGCAACGTTAGAAGAATTCGTTCTACCCTTTGTGAACTTTCATCTAACGATACAACTAAGCAGCATAGGTACTTCATGAAATTAGCTAGAAAGTAGAGGTGACTTAGCCCTGCCTACAGGCCTACTTCACGCTGTGGTGCATAGCCAGACTTTGTATGGAATGGCATAATGAGCTTCCCGTCTACATCTCATACAAGGGACAGTACCGTCACGGTAGGGGGCAGCACAGATGCCAGTTCAATGACAAAAGAGCCCCCGTAGAGGCCTCCTCGTTGCAGAATTAGGAAAAGCAGCTCGGCAAGCAAAGGATGTTGCAAGGTGACAGGGAAATATAAACAGAAATGACGCCAATTGCTTCAGGAAAGATTAGGAGGGCTGCCCGCTGTTACTGTCTGGGGAGGGCGCAACGCAGTAGCTGGCCATTGTCCCCGGCTCTCAGAAAGCTAAGACATCTCACTCATCTTCAACGCTGTTGCACTAAAGTTTGGAAATCTGCTTCCATCTCCTTCTGTTGAGATATCCAGTTCCTCCATTCCGTTTCGCTGTTGCTTGTCTCGCCAGCGTCGACCGGCGTTCTTCCGTTGGCTGGACGTGACAAAGGCAATAAGCCCCCCGCTTCCATGGCTGTTTGACGTTCAGGAGTAAGCATGGAAACCATCGTTTTCCGACTGTATACCTCTGGAACCCAGTCCCGCCTGTGTCACTGGCCTGTCGATGCTGGTGTAAGAACAGCCATAGATGACGAGGATGCCACACCGTTGGCGAGCATCCAGCTTCCATCTCCCTCAACAGGTCGAATCCAAGGACTGGCGACTACATTCCTTCTTCCGGAGACGGCAAAAGCAGGCAAGGGGCAACAGGAACTTTCCAAAGCTTCACAGAAGCACCACCCCGTGGCGTAGGTAATGCAGGATGACTACTCTACCGAGTGCTTGATACTGAAAACCGTCTTGGGCATCTGCCTTCAGGAATACCTGCAGCTAACATATGCAACATTCCGAGAGTTCAGTCGCGCCGGAACTGCCGGCTCGGGCTGTAGGCGGCGATACTAGGTAGTAGCGGGTTTGGCCCCATGTCCCCAACAGAAAGCACTGAAGTCTAGTGCTGCCACACATAGGCCGCGCTTGTGCGCGCAAAGTAGATACGCCCGCAAGCAATGAGCATTCAGCTCGAACTTCCGAATCCCCCTTCTTTACAGACAGGAGAGCAGAAGGAGACCAAAGCCTCTGCAGGGCAGATCGGGCTTCCTCCCTCTACACCGAGTTGTGGAGGAAAGTGAAGCTCACTACTACCCCACTATTTTTAGCAAGCGACCTTTCCAGTCTGAATATGGTAGCAACACTGAGCCATCAGTATTATTACTGCTATCCCCTCTCTGTATATAAGCAAGAAATAAGAAACGTACGTTTTGTTTCCAGGTCTAAGGACAAGGCGATCTGAATTTATTCGAAAAGGCAGTACAAACAAAAAATTGTCAGAAGTAGAAGAAGATTCTCCCCTGTCTACGGGCGCCACGTTACGTATCATGTCACGCACGCACCACCGCTGTGTTGCTCGAAGACCCAATTCAAACGCAAAACATGGGGGAAGCACGCTTGCGGCCAGAATACCTGTCATTCCCCCTCTTCTGGCACAGCCAGGAGCTTTACGTATGCGGCAACACCTCCCTCTCTCGCTCTGCGTTTGCTACCGCTAGCATGAAACTTGTCATCAGTGTCCTTATCTCCCCGGGTAGAGCTATCCGAAGGGCTCTTTCCGTCTGTACCTCCATTCTCCGCATCCCCGGATTTAGCTGGTACAGCGGCTGTGGCTTCGGCAGCTTCAGTAGGCGGTGCGCTTTTGTTTTTCCTCTTTTTCGTGCGGTTTTCAGCGTCACCTTGGTTGGCTGTGCAGGGAGCCGACCTGTCTAAACAACCGCAGCACTTGTACCCCCATTTATTCTCCTCCTTAGAATACAACGATCCAAAAACAGAGCTGTGGCCCAATGTGAACACGTCCTCATCATACAATGTGCTTTTCGAAAATTTCTTTAGCCGATTTTGCGCCTCCTGATGTTTGCGCTGCAGTGCCTGGAGCCTCGCTGCCTCCTTGGCCTTTCTCCGTAGCTCCTCAGCCGGAGACACTGCTTCTTCTTTCTTTTGCAGCTGTAGTGCAGCCTTTGCCTCACCCCTCAAGGCACGCCGCAGTTCTTCTATTTTCAGCTCTTCGCGGCGTCGCTCCTCAAGTTCTTTTTCCTTCTTTTGTTCCTCTTTCAGCTTCTGCTCAGCTAGCCACACCTGACCGTACACACATGCACACCAACATACGCAATTTCACGGATGTGGCCTCATTTTCCTTCTACATATCACGGAACCAGTTCGCTAAAGCGTTGAAATATGGTCGTCCTAGAAAGGCAATGTTTCTAGCGCACCTTCTCCTGGTTCTGGTAGTTCCCCGGGTGGAATGGCTTGTGGTTGATGAAAGCTGCGGACTTCTTCCCGATGTTACCGATCCACATTTCTGAAATGCCCTTTAAGATGTCTTAAATGTGGAAGGCTGAATAACTCCGCCTCACGAAACGGAGCACTTGGGCTGGCTAATGGCAACGACGCGGAGTCAAGCATCGCGCACTCCGCGTTGTACGCGGCATTATAATGAGCTCCCGGCTGACAATAAAATGTCACCAGGTGCAAAATAAAAGGTAATTTCCAGCAAGAAAGCATCAAAGACAATGAATACTGAAACGAGTCTCAGCCTAGGCAGAGCATTGCCCCTGGGGCTGCATGAACCAGCATGCACATATGTACACAGGTGTTTGCCGATTACGGAGCGTCAAATCCATTTGCTTCGGGCGTATGCTTGACTTTTAGTCTTTCCAACGGCTCGTGTATTCACAAAGCTCCTTCTGGGGAATGATTGGCCCCCGAGTCCCCTTCCCCCCTCTCCACGTGGAAAGACCCGCATGAACGATCATGATGTTAACTGTTATGTAGCGTGTGTAGCATGAGTTAGCGCAGAGTTAGCGCAGGATCCTTTCGATAGCTTTGGCATGCTGTGTGTAAGCGCTTGCAAACGTTCCACAAGTTCGTTCAGAGGCAAAGCATGCAGAAAGGAAGCTTCCCTGAAGCTTCCTTTCGTGCACGCGTGGGGCTGGCTTGCACTGCCAGCCGCAGCGGGGTGCGCTGCAACCCCGTTTCTGGCTGCCTCCTCCCCGCGACACCCTGGTCCTGAGCTCAACGCCCAGGATGCCTAGGTACCGGGGAAGGAGGTCAGGGGCTTTTGGGAAACGATTGCTTTAAGTCTTTGCCTTCATTGGGGCTCGTCTCTGGTCAGATGAAGGCCAGAGAACAAGCGTTACAGCTGCAAGACAACCGCTAGTGCATGCGCCCATTCGCTTTCGGTTGCTGCAGCCTGTCCCTCAGTATTCTTCCTGCATGCAAGTAGATTAAAAAGTACCAGCATCAAACAGAGTATGCTCCTACGTACGGCCTCCTGTATCATAGTTTCTCAGAGTTGGCTATTGTGTTTCTGCACGAGTGCAAGCTGCGTTCTATACTCCACAGAAGTAGCTAGCAGCACTTCAACTTGTTTTATCATGCAATAAAAAGGGTTGTGGTTGAGCTTGCACGTGGGCGCCATGAGCTGCAGCAAGATGCATGCACTGCTCGAGCCATGCCGCCGCATCTAGCACCATCCCCAAGAACATGGGACGCTCTACCCAGGGGGCCCTGAGACGCGGAATGATGCTGTGACTCAACTGCAGCTCACGAGGTCCCGCGGATAAGAATGAAGATTCTCCTTACGTTGCAGGTGCTGCGAGCCCTCATGTGCATTCCGGCTGTAGGCGGTCACCTCCTCCATGCGTACAACAGGGCAGCCCTCATTCATTCGGCGGAATAAAGCGTGGGTAACGTGCGGCTGCAGCCCCGCAGGTGCACGTACGCGCCAAAATTGCATACGCATATACTGTAGCTTTCGAATGCCGACTTGGAGCGCTGTCTTATGCTTTTTTCGGTGATGCTATGGGTTCTGTAAAAGGATGCCAGTGGAGTAGAATGATGAAGCGGCTGCTGAAGCAAGCGTCTAATTCATCACTTGGCTTCGCTGCAATCGGCCAAGTAACTCGCCGGTCTGAAACATGAAAAACAATTGCTTCACCGTGAGGCTAGCTTGCATCTCCAGCTGCAGCGAGCCTTGCTGCAACTCCAGTTAGGGTGGCTCCTCCGCGCAACACCAGGGCCCTGAATTCAACTTCCAGGGCGCTTGGGTAAATGGGTAGGATCTCAGCTGCTCTTGGGGAAGCTCTTACTTCGAGCCTTTGCCACGGCAGCTCGCTTCTCTCCTTGATGAAGGCTAGAAAGCTACCGTTACGCCTCATGCTGAAGGGTCGTACCCAGGTAACTGCAGCGTCTGACACCAGGCGAACACCCCCGTTACCCCAGAGGCATCCAGGCCGTCTGCTTGATCGCACACATTGCTAGCAGCAGTAGCGCCAGAATCAGAAGCACTGGGAGCCGCCCTCACAGGTCGAGCCGCAGGAGGTAACATACATCAGGCTTCCCCTGTCAGGATACCTCAGCTTCAGGCACTGCTTGTAGGGCAAATAGCAGGTTTTTCCTAGGCTCATGGGACAAATGCCTTGACGTTGCCTCCACGAACCTTCTTTTCGCTGTACATCGGCCCCATGCTCCTGGTACTGCTGGTCGCTCTTCTTCTGCTTCCTTGGCTACTGCTTCTCCCGATTTTCGCTAGGTCTAGGTCTTGCATATTCTGATGTAGCGGTGCGTGTTGGGCGTTCTGCGGCGTCATCGCACCACGAGAGGATCTTGTGGAGCGTTCCTTCGAGTTCACAGTGGCACAGTTAACACTTCTGTGCACGTCCGAGAACGCTGCTAGGTTTATCAGCTGCTCTACAAGGGCCGAACTGCTTAACAGAAAAGTCTCTGCAATCGTAGATGCGTTGAGAGGGGAAAAGGCATCGTAGTCGGGATGTTTGCTGCTCCAGCTCCCTCCCGCTGAGTGAGACCTGCGCTCCGCTCGGCATGAAAGTAGCCTAAACAAACTCCTTACATACACAACGTCGGTACGAAAGAATTTTCCACCGATAAATAACGCATCTTCATCCTAAGGAGAGAAGGAAAACAGCTTAATGTAAAGCCGCGTTGCTGGAAGTAGCAGGGCTTTTCAACTGCCGGCGGTCTCGCAAAAGCCTTGCTCATGTCTTGGTATCCAGGCTTGGATAGCTGTGAGCCGGCACAATATATGAATTGCCGGCACAACTTATGGATTGTATGACAAAGTGGTCTCAAGCACATGAGTGGCTGTTGGATGGTGGCACTTTTTTATAGCTCCTCTTAACGCACTTGCAATTGTTACCCACCGCGTCACGGGACGTAATTCGTGTTATGGGACCACCGGCGAGACCTAAATGAGGCCTGGCACTCATGCTCCGTTAACGTTGCTCAATTCAGGAATGTTCTGCCCTTCCATTATACGGGAAATTTAAGCTGCACGAGTCCACCAAGAGAAAATCGTATATACGCCGTGAATCACAGTGTGAACCCCATGTGGCCTCCAGAAGAATCGCAAAATATATGTGCCAGGAAACGATAAAATAATGCACCTCTCAGCGATCCCGGCGCCTTCTTCAGGAGGAGTAGTGGAATCAGTCTCAGTCGAGTAAAATGATAGTAAGCTTCGAACAGACGCCTACGGAAATAAAGGAGAATTTCGCGCACTCCGTCGTGATGGTCCTACGAAACTCTGTTTTGGGTACTTCTAGCTTACTGATAATTAGTACCATAGGTTGGCATAGTTGAAGGAGGAGCTCTCAAATGTGGGAAGGAGGTGCAACTTTTAGCGAACGATACACACGTTGGATGCCCAATAAGCAGCATCGAATTCACCGCGGGCACGGCCCCTGGTTGGTTCGGAGGTACAGATGACACGCACATCTTGAAAAGGAAACCGAATGGAAGGTGGTGTATTTGCTACGGAAAGGCAAAGCTCAACCGTCAATTCCTAGCCTTCTGCAGAATGCGATGCAGACGGTGACCCAGGCATGTTGACGTCAAGCCCCTTACCGCTCACATACGCCCTTCTCTAATGCATCATCTCGAGAAGGAGAAACAAATTTCCAGGACAAAGACCTCATTAATCGCTTCATTGCTTTCTCACTATCTGCCGTCCTTTGCTTAGGAAGTGACAAAATCGCGACTGGTCCATATCGAGTGCCATCCTAAACTGAGCCACACGCTGAAAACTGTACTCTCCCCTGGCGTGGGTTTTGGCACTAAGAGATGAGAGTGCTGCGAAACGGCAACAGTGGCCCTCGATTCTCACTTGAATTTATTGAAGTAGTCAGCGTCAATCCAGGGGCGAAAGAACACACCTCCCCAAAATAAGTTTTTGTCGCGTGTGCAACGTGTTCTGGAGCCGTACACGCCACTCGAAAACGCCAATTCCACCCCTGCAAGACAGATCAGGATTGTGAAGAATGTTTTATAGATAAAAGGTGAAAAGTTCGAAAAATACGGTTACTGAAAATCAAGGCATAGCTGGAAAGAGAAGACTGTACACTATCCTAAACACCTCACGCTTGTGACTGAAAAGAGGACATTCTCCACTCTCCAAACCACTGCACACTACGGGGAGAACAAAACCGACTAAATCATCAGCAAAAATCATGAAGGTCTCTATACTGGAGGATGAACAGTCAGTAAAACGACGCTATTATACAGTCCGGTGACCCGGAATCGAACCAGGGACCAACAGATAACCGCAGCCTCTACAGTCTGCCGCTCTACCAACTGAGCTATCACCGGTAAGAGAGCACGGTTGCGACGCGTGCGCTGCGCAAATCGACGGTATAAGCCGCCTTCGCTAGCCCTCTGCTCAGTCATACATGTTTTCTGAACCCCGATGGCGCAGTCGCAGGGGATGGCACAAGCAATACTATTTCCCGCTATCATTGCACGTGTGAAACTGCAGGAATTTGCGCCAATTTAGCATGATCCCGTCCATGAGTACCAAGCTAGTTCCATCATTCCCTAGAATGAGCGAACGAGGGCGGCGCACTTGCCAGGATTGCAGTTGATTCGTGATTGCAGTGAATATTCACTGTGCGTGGGCATTTGTCAGGACGGTTCCCTGCATTGGCTCGCCGATGACTGTAAGTCCACTGTCTCGTAAAGGAAGCTGACAAATTTGGCGCTGGGAGTTTGCGGGCTAGAAGGAAGGTTGGGTCTAATCGGTATTCTCACTGTTGGTCGGTTAAGCCAGCGAACGCTTCGTCGTAAGGCAGAATGTTCGTTGGTGTGGATGGCGGGCGAGGCCCAGCCATCTGCTCAGAATGGGAAAGCGTGTGCACTAGCGTAGTCTGTGCTGGAAAGACCTGAACCGCAGATGCCTGTGGAGGAATTGGCACCAAGGCTGGTTCAGGTTGCTGGCCCACTGAGAAGGCGCCGAAACCGATGGTGCGCCGGGCCTACCCTGGTAGACTGGCCGTTACCAACGCGA